CATGCTTCTGCTTGAGTTTTATATCTGCCAGGGCAGCATTCTGACGCACCTATCCCACTTCAAGGTTATCTTTCTGGCGTCCTCCTTGGTTATCTATGTTCAACAGGGTGATTGTCTGCGCTCTCTAATCACATCTTACCTTTGCTGATCGCGACTGACCCTAGCGTAAATGATCTACTCGCCGATCAAATTGCTTTCATGACGCGCATATAGGAAGCGTCTTCTACTTAGTTTGACAGCTGCCAGTGATGCTTCTATTCCACCACCCGGTCTCCGCGGCTGCTTCTTTTCCTAGTCTCCCGGAGACTTGCTCGACATATAAAAACCCCCCATCTCCCTACCATCCTATATCGTCCTCATTCCTTCCCCCATGGCTCACCCCTTTGCTCCAAAACTCAGTCGCCAAGCCTTGCAGAGCTGCCTCTTCTGCAACAAACCGACCACCGATATGGTCAGGCACGTATCTGTGCACAACGAAGACCCTCAATTAACTTTCAACTTGCTTGGTGAGTGGAGGCGCTCCGCGTGTGTATAAAATATTTACTGACTCTACTTTCAAGGTATTCTTGTCGTTGCAAGACAGATACATTCCAAAGGCTATCAGTGCCCATTCGTCAAATGCTCATTCACGGGGCTGCCTGCGGCCCTATACCTGCATTTGATTGGCCATATTACTGTAAGTTTTTACGTTACTCAATCTCCCCCTACTGACGAATTTCAAGATAACTGCACAACCCCTGCCTATCTCTCACTCGCCTTCAGATTCAGCAGAATCATCCACTTTTGGCTGTAGCACCCCGTCCCAGGGCAATTACCGAGTGGGCTTAGCCACCCCATTCTCACAGTTGCCCGGCGAGCCTGCCAGCAAGAAACGTAGAATCGAGCCTCCCTCTTCACCCACACCCGACACCACTTCGTCCAATCCCAAGACCATCCCCATGGAACGCGAGCTGAAACTGCAGAGAATCAGCGAGTACATGGACGACAACATGGGTACCTGCCCCCTTCACGGTATATCATCTTCCCTCTCATTCATCAACCAGCATTCGGACCTCCGTTACTGCGATCTGATCGACATGGCTAACTACAAGAGCGTGTTCCGCAAGGCCATGCGCAAAGCCGTGAACAAAAGCATACTGTGCTTCTCCTGTTGCGGCTGCATGACCTTTCACCATCCTGTGGAACGTCATTGCGACAGCGAGGCTCTCCAGGACATCTGGATCGGGATCCCGTATCTCATCTTCTGCATCCCAGCGCTGCAACGTGTGGTATTTGGACTGCTTGGCAAGCACAACTACCACACCGTTGTTCAGAACATCGACTCCTTCGTCCTCTGGCTCTTCAAGGCATCGCCTCTCATGGCCCTCCCCACCAGAGCTACCCCGAACCTCTTTGACCTGTTGATTGCTTTTGCATCATCCGTTCCAGAGTTAACGGAGATCGACTGGGTGGATACGCTGGCCGAAGCAAACAAGAGGATGGCGGACTTGTAGAATACTCATCGGACTCGCACTGCTCTCACGGACTTTCGGTTGCCATGTACTTTATTATCATTGTCGGATAGGCACCACTCGGACACTGTGTATACAATAGTTAGATGTACTACCGCGTTGTACTTTTAGAGTCGGCCAGTTTACGCGAAGATGTAATTCATAATGCTTTATGGTGTCCTCATTCTCATAGTACGTTGCATTAACTAACTAGTGTTTATTAAATCTAATTTCGCAAAGGAATATCGCCATTACACCAACACATTCGTCCAGAACAACGCATCCAGGTGAGATACCTCTTATATGAAGACCCCCCTATCTCAACTTCTTGCTTCCCGATGTAGTCAATGTCACGTGACAACATTCCCATGACGCGTTGTTTGCATGAGTTGTGGCTCACACATCGCTCATCCCTACAAACAAGGCTCACCATGCATTATGTAATCCATTTCTCATCTTCCACAACCACCATCACCGCCATGACAGTTCCAAGCTGAGTTAATTGAGCTCTGCAGTTCCAACCTGTGGAGTTCCAACCTGTGTTGGGTGTGCTTTGCACGCCCCCTGGGTCATGCCGCCTGGGCTGCACTTTGTGCTCGTATACTCGAATATACCCCTGCGCAAAGTCAACGTCCAATTGGACACCGACCAAGAGCTACCCTAGGTCAAAGACACACTTGAACAATGTCTGGCGGTGTCCCTCCAGTTCCCAATGGCTAAGTTCACTAGTTCAGACTATCATTGTTCCGTCACATGAAGCCCATTGCCTGTTGCAGGTGAGTCTGTACTGTAGCTATCTACACCGCGTCTACTGATTCTGATACTCTGTCCTTGATGCTGCTCCATCACGCATTTACAGCTCAAAGTCCATGTTCTTCCCGACTAACCTGCCTCTAGGCACGGCACCACCTTTAGCACTCATTTTCATTTGTATTGGTGGTGCTTGGTTCTGTCTGTCGCAATCCTACCAGTGCTACCACTACGGTCGACTCACAATCATCCCCGCATTCCACTAGATGTCCCTTTTCACTCAAGACTGGTGTAAGGATGCAGACTCTGACGTATACTGCTTTCTTTGGCACGTACCCTGCCTCTTTTGGAGAGCCTCAGTGGGTATCACGGCGGATGGAGAAACCTTGGCAGTTTTTTATCATATGATTTATCACGTGATACACTTCAGTTTACTTTAATTACCCTACGTGACAAATGACATCATCGCAACACCTAGCATACACGCTCTTTCTAGTCTCTCAGATTACCATACTATATGCGCTTGATTCCATATTTCTTGGCCACTAGTATACCTAAACGCTCTTATGACTCCTGGGCATCAGTCTCATGGACAATATCCAACTGGCCAAGCGCCAATCGCGCAGTACCTACATCGCGCAAACCTCAACCTCCCGCAGGCTGATATCTCCACTCTAAACACAGAGCAGAAAGCAATATTCACCACAGTCATGGACGGCACAGGGGCCTTCATCACTGGTGGGGCTGGTACGTACTGTGTCTAAGATGTTCTCATTATATTCACGTGGTCAAAGGCACTGGCAAGACGTATCTCATCCAGCACATTATCCAAGGGCTGCGGATCAAGTACAATACCATTGATGACGTAGGTGTCACCTCGAGCACTGGCGTTTCCTCCTTGAAAATTGGAGGTAAGTTCCTTGCCTTAGCGCATGACTTCACTTGTCTTACTTTGCTATAGGTCAGACCCTTCATTCTTGGGCAGGCGTCAGCTGGCGATGAGAAAGGTGATGTAGAGATGGTAAAGAAGATAGACCGCAAGGACATGGTGAAGGCAAGGTGGCTTTCAGCCAAAGCACTAGTTATTGACGAACGTACGTTGCCCTACCATTGCCCATGCGCTAGGTACTCATCCATCACAGTGCCGATGATCACCGCCCAGTATATAGATCGCCTTGATAGAGCTGCGCGTCATCTTCGAGGGATTGACAAACCTTTTGGAGGCATTCAAGTGAGTTAGCGCTCTATCCACCAATTTCAGCATGTCTAACCCCCTACCTAGGTTATCGGCGTAGGGGATTTCTTGCAGCTTCCCCCCGTCCAATATCCAAAGGAGGGCCTCACATTTGAAGCAAGTTGTTGGACGGACTTGTTTCCTGCTGTCATCTGCCTTTCCACAGTTCACCGCCAAGTGGACCAAGGTGCGTACCTCCCTAACTGCTGTGAGCTGTTCTGATGATGTGTGCAGAGTTGATCTCTGCTCTTAACAAGTGCAGGGTGGGCAACTTTGATCAATCCAGTCTGGCATTTTTCAAATCCCTGGAGCGGCAAATCACCCCCAACTACCTACCTGCTATAGACTCTATCTACCTCTTCCCCACCCGCAAAGAAGTCCAGCAGATGAACCAGCATCGTCTTGAGCAGCTCCAGGACTACAATTTTCATTACGACGCTCTTGATGACCTCTGCGGAAACAAGGACCGCCGAATCTTCAAGGAGCTTCCCGTAGACAGCAAAATTGACTTGAAGATTGGAGCGCAAGTCATGCTCCTCCAAAATCTTGGCGATGGCCTGGCCAACGGCTCTACTGGCCGAGTAGTTGGTTTCTTCAAACCAGGTCAAGCAGACCGCCACCACGCTGGCCGCAAAGTCGGTCTCCTACGTCACATCGCAGTCAATGAGCACGACTACCCCCTCGATTGCTACATAGCGTCTCGGGCTGAGCTCAGAGACTTGACAAACCTCTATCCCTTGGTGAAGTTTACCACAAGCGAGGGCCCCGAATGTGTACTAGTCATGCCCAACGAGTTCACCCTTCAAATTAAAGGCAGGGTTATCGCACGCCGGCTGCAGGTATGTTTACTCTTTCTGGATTTGTTGCAATTCTCACCAACATTACAGCTACCATTGGCCCTGTCGTGGGCTATGACGATCCACAAAAGCCAGAGTCTTACGTTGGAAAAGGTCGTCGTTGACCTCGATAAGGCATTTGCAGACGGTAAGTCAGTCAATTAATACAAAGTTGTATCCTAACTGTTTGACAAGGTCAAGCGTACGTAGCGCTTTCTCGAGCAAGAACCCGAGAAGGCCTGGAACTGCGACACTTTAGTAAAAACAAAGTTAGTTAGTTAGTACTTTCGCTGCTCACTACTCATAGTTTCACAGGTGAAAACAAATCAAGAGGCTTTAGATTGGTACCTCAGAAACTTTACCTTTGTGTGATTCCTGTAGCTATGGACTTATTTGTTTTGCGTTGCAGACACTATACCATCAATTCAGACACAGGGTCTCGAGGTAGATCCGTCGTTAGGACTTCCAACACATCTTTGATTACCGCTTCGACTATGACCGCTGTTGTGTGACACTATTGTATTGTTCAAGGCGTGACAGTACAAACTACTAACTACTAGGTATGACTTTGGATGGTTATAGTGCCCCCCGCACTTTGAAGAGCCCAATTGGCCGGTTTGTCCTTCAAAACCTCATAAGAGGAATGAGGAAAAAACCAGACATTACCTATACGCCCTGGGGTAAGTCCATCCTTTGAAACTCCAGGGGCTGGCGTCCACTCTCCTATACTGTGGTATAGTGCGCCCGCCATTAAGATTATAACTTCCCCTGGGCGGTACCTTGAAAGGGATGAGTGCGGGGTAAAGTATTGAAGGACTAATAAACTACTCACGAAAGTTTCAGCTTCAAATCAGGGAGGTAACATTCACCGCCCTCGAAACGCCCCATTGGGAAGATGACAGCCGGCCCCTCGTCTAGGCCATCCTGATGTGGGCTCACAGACAACTTCCACACGATGACTCTACCAAGAAAGGGGCCAGGATCGACTACTGTCCACTTGCCTGCATCGAACGCCTTCCGGTATTTCTTGTAGAACTCGGGAAAGGCCTTCCGAAACATCACGGCCAAGCGTAACGCCAAGGTCTCAGTGGCATTAAAGTATGCGTGGACTTGTGGTGCCCCGTGGGGTCCAGACACCATGTTTTTGGAGGGATGGATTCCGTACTGAGGTCATAAATGTGAGTTAAGGTTAAGCACGCTGTAGATGAAGAGTGCTTACCTTTGTCGCGTCATGCGCTTGGTCTGGCCATCCATGGACCAGGTGTAGGACGCCAGTAGTCTCAGAGGTGAAGGTATAGTCATGGTATACATACTCTACGCCCTCTAATACGAAACTTTGACGATCTTCAGATTCGGTCATGGGACCACCAGGCGGACCGCAGTCCTTGGGGTACCTCATTAAAAAGTCGCCTTTATCGTGGCGACCGTCCCGCTTGGCATGTTCCATGCCGATATGGTGCACCAGCAGCTGCGTTGCTACATGCACCTTATCAAGGGTCTCCCTCTAAATCTAGGCGTGAGTTGGATTCAAAGTAAGCTACGTAAAAAATTACCTTGAGTCCGTCTGAATATACTTTTTTGCCGTCTCTCTCAGCCTTGTCCAAGCATGCTGGGGATCGCCCCAGTGCAGAAGGCGCCTTAGGCCCTGGATTGTAGGCAACAGGATCAAGGGACATTCTGTCAGTCTGTTCTCCTGTTAGCGCAAGTAATCAAGACGGCTAATGAACTCACATTAACCTCGGCCTTGACACGCCGTCCAAAGTAGGCGACCAGGGTATTCCCCACCTCATCTTGAAAAACTCCCGACGCTCCGTCGCTCTCCCATGACTCCATCTCTCTAATGATCGCCCGCGCCTTCTCTTTGTCTTTCGGCGCATTCTTGGTTCGGCTCTGCAGCTTTTGCAGGTTGACACCTTGAAGCTTGTAGACCGGCGCTTCGTCCGCCCAGTACTGTAAGTCGTGATATATGTGTTGTAACAAGCGCTGCTGTTGCTTGCGCTTGCCCAAAGTATGTCTGTCAGACTTGCGTTTGCCAGACTTACTTTTGCCAGACGTGCGTTGATAAGCACTGGGCTTCAGAAGCACCGTCTTAGGATGCGGTACTGCTGTTACCTTGCGAAGGTGGCTCTTTTCCTCACCTTTGATGGCAGCCGCTGCTTGTGACACGAGCCTGCCATCAGTAACGACCTCGTGGGCTTCACCGTCACCGTCCTCTGACATTTCAGACAACGAACTGAGGGATGACATGTCGTCATCGTCTTCAGAAAGCTCTGACAAGCTGCTGAGGGGGGATGTGCTGCCGTCCATGTACATGGACGATTCAAATGAGCCGTAAGTACATGTCTATTAAAACTCGTCAGTAATATTACCAGGGTAGCACATACTTACTTACTGGGCCGCAGGAACCTTCAAGTCCTTCCATCTGAATCACGCTGTGTTTACAGAGTACGTGCGTGAGTTTGATCTGCACAAATGTATATAACAAATGTTAGAGTCAAGATTCACTGTTCGTTTACAACATACACACCTTAGAATTGCAAAGTACGTCGTGCTTTTTGAATTGATCCGCACAAAAGTCTATGATTAATGTTAGTCGTCTAGATTCACTTTTAATTTAAAGAGTACATGCCTTACAATTGATCCGCGCCTACGTGCCTTATGATTGATCCGCACCTTGACAAGGTGTGTGCCTTATGATTGATCCGCAAAGGGTGTTGATCCGAAGTTTAGAAGCGCCAGAATTTTATAATTAAAGTTCACAAATGACATAGTAAAGTCTATAGTACTACAGTACTAGCAAAGTCTATAGTAAGTATAGTCTTAAGGTCTACATAATACTATAGCGCTATACTAATGATGATGGTCCGAAAGAGAGAGGTGAAATGGGCGGTAGCACATTATATAGGGAACTGCATTATCATTCAAAGTCCGCCGGAATCAAGCGCCAGCCACGTATACCGGAATTTACCAGCTGGGATTCAAGGTCCGCCGGAATCAAGCGCCAGCCACGTATACCGGAATTTACCAGCTGAGATTCAATACTTATTTGTCATCCCTATATGAAGACCGCCCTTCTCATTTCTGCTTCTCTTTTCCGCCCCACTACCTACTACACCCATTTTTAAAATAGACTTAATTATTAAAATACATGCATACACCTTATACTTAAAATAGATACACCCCGCCCTTTAAAATACACATACCCCGCTTGACAATGTGCTTAAAGTATATTTAGAAAAATTATATTTAGGATTGATGCGTGGACACGTTGCGCCGACATGACTACCAAAAGTAGTAATGCGCGCTCGCTGTGGATGTTAACCATTGTTGTCCAAATTCGTCGCGTCCACAGTCGCATCCACACATTGTTGTGTTGGCCATTGTTGTGCCCACCGCCCGACGCTTTGGTAAGCAACCCAAATCGGTCGTCCCTATAAAAGGCTGACCTTCGCAATTGCAGGCCTCTTTTCCACTTCCATCATCTCATCCATCGCGTACTAGATATCACCTTAGAGTACGTATTACATTAGTTTAAGTCAAGAACTCTGATCAATTCATGCATAGGAATGTCAAAACGCGCTGCAAGCCCATCTTTGGACGCGCCCAACGCAAAACGTACCAGAAATCAAAGTAAGTCCTTAATTTACTAAGTGTCCTGTCCGTACTTACATCGATCTAGTACCATCTTTATCCGATGGAGACGAGTCAGTTAATCAGGAAGCGGGGTATCAGGTGAGCATAATTTCCATCCTTTCTCGTGTGCTCTGATACTCATTTTTCCAAGCCTCAATCAGATGACGACGAGGTGATACTCCTCGACAAGGCGCAGGTCGCAGAGTCGAGTTCATCCCGCGTTAACCCATCTTTCCCATCCCGTGCCCAAGATAAACCAGCCTTGCAGGATCCTGCGGCTTGGGATATCTTGGAGCGCTTTCTTACCACCGATCTAACCTTTGGCAACATGGAAACCGAGTTCCACGCACATCTCGGTCATCGTCATGACCCGTCAGACTGGACGGAGGCGAGACAAGCCTTGTTCTCGGGCGACGGCGATGATGCGCTCTCCCTATCGAATTTACTTGCTATCAAGCGCAAGCACATCAAAGTACATTCTACTCCGAGTTCCAGCTCGAAATCACGCCCTCGTCCATTGCATAAAGTGAGTTAAATTTTTTAAATGTATAGTTCTATCTAATCGTTCAAAGTCAAAGAATCCATTTATCGATCTAGAAGCGGATGATGCAGAGGACGAGGAGGAAGAGGAAGAAGAAGAAGAATTAGAATTTGAGCCTGGACAGGCCAAAGTCACGCATCTCCCCTCAAGAAAACACACGCTCTCCGACGCAGTCGCCAGGATTGAGGAGACGATCAACCGCAGCAGCAGCATCTATGCTCAGCGCCTTGAATCGCTCCCTCCTCCTCGGGCGGTTGGTTTCGTCCCAAAAAGACGAATGTATGTATTTACTGTGAATGGTAAGTCAGCATATTATCTACATATATTCTGCGCCTAATGGATTGCAGTATCCGTCAGGCAATTCATCGCCGACCATCTCGAGAAACGAGGGCTCGAGCTCGTGATATCACCATGGATTCCCTCGCACATTTACATTACCTCCGACAGTCCCCGCACAATTCTTGCGACCATCCCCGATCAATATGCATCATCAGTCAAGAAATGGGATGTAGTCACTGAGGACGAAGAAGCAGAAGTTAACTCGCTGCGGCTGCAGTTCCCATACCCTGCCTGGCTCCGGATCAAGCGGGGTAAGTATAGGGATGCTATCGCATACCTATTGGACTGCGAACAGTCGGATAACTTTGTCACCGCCCTCGTCCCACCCAGGGACTTCCCATATACCATGCCGAAGGGATCCATCGCGCTCTTCGACCCATCACGCCTTCCAACCGGCATTTCCCCAACTGAAATCCTTCGTAATGGAGAAGTAATTGGACTTAAGTATAAGGGGGAAGAATACTACGGCGGCCTACTCAAGAAAACTTTCCATCGGTACGCAACGGAGTTAGTCCACATCCCGCACCCCAACGATATTCGTCTCCATATCCAATCTGGATGGGACACCCCGTACACCAAGAAAACTGAAATCGCCTTCTCTAAACTTTCCTTACGAGCTGGAGATGGCGTGCGCCTCCGTACGCCTGATCAAACTGGGCAGATCTACACCATACTTGCGACGGATCATTCCTTCGGCGGGTCAGTAACCCTGGAATTCGATTTGGACGGTCGCAAAAAACAAATGAAAGCGACGCTCGCTGAAATAGAGCAGGTATTCGACGTTGGGGATGAAGTTAGGGTTGTTGCAGGAGTTTATTCAGGGGTGGAAGGGCACATTGTGCTCAAGTATGACGAAAACTTCACCATTTGCCAGTCCGGCACGCAAGAAGAGGTACGTATTTTATAATTAATTCGATACTCTAACTAATATAATGTATAGATCCAAGTTTCCAAGTATTACTTGGACCGTAGACCTATAGATCGTACTCTCCAAGGCTCTTCAGCAGCTCCCCAATACGTCGACCCTCCAGAGGAGGCCAAGTCTATAGAGATCGGCGACTCCATTAGGGTCACCATCGGAGACTTGATCGGTAGAAGTGGGCTGGTGTTATGGGTCTCAGGAGAATTTGTATGGTTCCACGACGACAACGACCTCCTTCGTGACGAATGCGACGGCGAAGCACCCACCTTGGTCAAAGTTAACACATCAATGGTCGAACGTACGCGCCTTCCAGCAACCCTCAAGTTCACCAGGGAGCGCGGGTATGATATTAGACCGGGTGATATGGTTAGCGTTGCGCGAGGACCTGAGTTTAATACCAAGGGGGTTGTGACCGCAGTAGACTTGGTCAACGCTCTACTCACTATAGAGACTGAACACGATCAAGAACTCGTAAGTGTTTTACTACAGTTTAGGCATGCATCTAACATTCTACAGATCAAGGTTCCTATTAGATTTGTCGTCAAGACACGCAATGGAGACCTCGACGCGTTCAACAAATGGATCAACAAAGAAGTCTATATCATCGGAGGAGAGAAGAAAGGTTTCCGCGCAACGCTATACAGTCTCTCAAATGATGATTGTATTATCGCTGTGCACGGCCAACCGCACATGACCATCAAACGTGCTAATGTCGCTACTACGTGAGTTATTCTCTTTATTCATTTTTGTCTCAAGGTTTACATATTTTAGTTACGGCTGCCGTTTGAATGGCGCGATGCTCCAATGGCAGGATTTCACTGCTTTTTGTGACATGCGCAGGAGATCTCACATAGCCCCACCGGCTCGAAGCGTTACCCCTCCCCCTGAGAGAACAATCCCCGTTGATGCCGGCCCGTCCATCCCCTGGGCTTCATGGTCACCCGAGGTCCTTGCTGCCTTTGGCACTCAAACGGACAACGCCGGCCCTTCAAACCAAGCCGAAGATCCTTGGACGGTGAACCCCAGCGACACCATGCCCACAGTTGAACCGGCTCAACATAATCCACGAGGTGAGTTCTTCAACATGATGTTATAATTTAATTTGATGTTTACTATTATTCCAGAGCCGATCGGTTGGCTGAGGGAGTTTGCGTTGAAATTTCACAGCTATCACGCCCTCTTCAACGTCTCAGCAGGCTTCCAGGGTGGAAAATTGATCAAACGCCTAGCCAATAGTCACTGCCCGGATCCTTTTTGTGGGCCCAATGGCATCGCTCCTCCCGGCCACATCGCAGCCTGGTGCACCGCCAAAACCGCAGGTGGCACTCGAATGGACTACCACATTCCCGTCGAGTTTCTCACTCCATCCGATCCCCGGAGAAAGAATCAAGAATGTTTTGTTATGAACGGTGATCATCGAGGATTGATCCTGACCGTTGCAAAGTGCAACTTAAAGGCCCGCACTGTAGAGTTTCAGTTGACTTCTGGTTCAAACTTTAGATTTACGTACAGTTTTGATGACATTTGCGTAGTAGAGCCTTCCAAGGACATGCAATAGGTTGGCGAATTTAGGGACATTTTCTACATATCTATATCACGATCTATATAAGCGGCAGTTTATACTAGCCTGCGCGCAATACTAATGTTTTCAATGTCACCACTGTGCGTCTTGATGTCTGATTTCAGTACTAACTTTATAGGAATACTAACTCAACGATAATCTGTAAGCATTATTTTGATTTTTCTCCCAGTCTTCTCTTACTGATCAGCATCGCTCATTTATAGATAGACTTTTAACATTTGCATTTAGGCTCGCCATATTATGTAAGCACACTCGTTCATCCCTACAAATCAAACATCTGACCTAGCTTACGTAATAAATAGCTCTTCTCTCTCAACGTCTTCGAGGAACGCAAAGTCTGGCGCAATTCAGTTGGTTAGGAGGCCATCCAACGCATTAGGTATGCAACTTGTACATATGCCGGTGGAGTATACTGACTACTTTTTAGATTACCTCTTCCTTCCGCCTTGGGGACTAACCATGGCAGACCCACGCCCTACCAAACGGGTTCACTTTCGGGATGTCAACTCAACAACCCACCCTACGAGATCTCCATCTGCCCAAGATATTTACAAGTGGACAAACACAATCAAGGCAACGGCCCCCTGCTTCATCAGAGATGTTCTCTCGATGAGAGAAAAAGTCACTGAAGGTTAGTCTCCTCATGCGTACGAAAATCACCCAATTAACAACTACAGGGACTGATGGCAGCTTTTACTGGCTTGGCCATATTCCCTGCCGTATTGTGCACATCATTGGTGTCGTGGTAGGGATTGACGTATCTGATAAATGGACGGTGTACACTGGTTAGTTCTCATTTTGCGTCAGTCGTCGTTACTCATCCCGGACACAGTTGACGATCATACAGGTGTCATTGAGTGTATGCTTCGCCACCCCCCGCCCTACGCCAACATTGATATAAAGTCAATGTCGACTGAAGACCTATGTACGTTACGCAAACGTCCGCTGCCTCCACCCCCACCTACTGTCACCGCCATCGGCTACCCAGTGGATGTCATTGGCAAAGTTATGACATTCCACGGTGGGCGGCGGATTACAGCCATATCCATCAGTACGTTCCCCCTTTGCATCTCTGACTGTGACCTCACCTCATCCCAGGGGGCTGCAATTCCACCAACGATCAATGGAAGCACGTTGTCACCGTCGTGGAACTTCACAAATCCGCGTACTCAGTGCCAAAGCCCTTTGAGATACCAGTAGAGATGGACTCAGACATATTGGAGAAGTCCATCAAGTGTCCATCCTCACCTCTGACGCACAGTGCGACATCCCGTCCATCGACTTTTATTATGCCAGTAAGTACTTTGCTATATATTAGTTCTAACTAATTCATCGTTGTGTAGGATCAATTTATTCATCCTTCTCAGTTGCGGACCGCTGACCTTACCGACAACACTTTTCGGTTATACCTCAAGCATCACATTCATAACGCGCTTGGCAATATCTGTGATATCGCCTCTCCAGCATTCACCCTCTCCCATCTACGCCGGATTCCCGAACTTGCCCTTCTAGCTAGTCGGGTTGTTCATGCCGAAATGAGGCGACGCCCTCAACCTCACGCACATGCTGCTCAGACCCGCAACTCCAACCTCCTGAGGGTCAGAATGAAGCGCCTCTTTATGTGGGCGATCCTCCGGCTTTACGAAGAAGGGAGTATCGTCCTTTACGATAAGCCTTTGATAGCCATAAGTTTGTACCCATCTGTGCCAAATCTCCCTTCAACTGACCTCGCCAATTCCCCAGGTTCCTGTAACACTCAGCAGTATGTCACCTCTGATGATGAGGCCTATCTATCAGACCCACCACCGCTTGAAGAAGACGAGGCCTACGTTCCTGTGACTGCCACGCTCCTCTCTCAGCCTGTGCAAGAGATCATGTCTGCAAGAGGCATTCGCGGAAAGAGTGCCAGGGTTAGACCTGAGGATATTCTCAGCGATCTGAAACAATTAGATTGCCGTTGGGCATGCATTGACTTGCAGACTGTCGATGAAGCCATAGACACCATTGTAATTGCTTAAGTACTCCTCTCATTTATTGTACCGCACTGTTTACCTGCTCCTTGTACTTGTCTTAGATGTAATCCAATACCATCATGCTCACATGTCCCATCTAGCTAGAGAATCACCGGCTGATCCCATAGGTGAGTAGTGTCTTTCAGAACTTTGGTACTCATGGGCGACACCGACAATGCAAAGTCAAAGCGTGAATACATTGAGAAGGACGACGCCGACAATGCAAAGTCAAAGCGTGAATACATTGAGAAGGGCGACACCGACAATGCAAAGTTAAAGCGTGAAAACATTGAGAAGGGCTGGTATGTGTAGTAATAGCGCGCGGTATAATAATTATGGGTGCATATAGATATTTCTCCTGCTGTGTGCGCCCCCAACCTATGCTTCATTGATCCCTAGGACCCTCTCTACCTCAAGCAGCTCCTGCCACAGTCTCCTTATCTCTTGACGCCTCTCCTCCGCAAGCACCATAAGGAGGCCCCGGTGCCATCGCCCAATCGGCTGATGTATGAGCGGTGCCAACCCTTCCGCCATTCTCCTCTCGTTTCCCCGGGCAATCTCGTGCCCGTCCTCCCACATACGCTGGGTACTTGTCAGCATGCTCTCTAACATCATGTCCCACTCACCATCACTCGCGCCGTGATTATTATGGCCCGCTCCTCGAACTCTCTCCTCTGAGCCTGTTCAAACGCGTGAGTCGATCGTTAAACAGAAACTGTGCACTTACATATTGCGGGGCAGGCAGGTTCTGTTGAACGTTCCCCGCGCCCATGTCCTGCGGCGCGGCCTGAAAAAAACTAGTGAGTTAAATACCATATCTTCGGGGACAACTCACATTGTTTCCGTACGGCAGCTGGTTGTTGGCTTGCGGGGGGGCACCGTCGTTGGCCTGCGGGGGGGCACCGTCATTTATAGGGTCAAAACAGAAATAGGTTTCAAACTTGTAAAAAAATATCTTTTGGTGGGCTGGTACATATCATTGAGGGTACTTCTGGGATGGATATGAGCCAACAATTAAGAAAAACGGCGGTTCGGTTGTGGAGATATGTCCAAAATACTGATATTTGAGCCTACCTCCCATATCACATGAATGCCGACCTCCGGAAGGTCTGAGACCATTCCCAATCGATTCAGAGGCCTCAAATACCCTAGGAGAGATGTTTTCGGTATCGGTATTGAGGCGGAACACCGGGATAGTGACATATATGAGGTCAGGAGGAGGGGGAGGACCCTGTATATCTCAGGAACACGATTTTTCCGGGCAATTCTGGCTTCACCATCGTGTTCAGAGGGCTCAATAACCCCCAGGAAAAATGCTTTTGAAGGACAGGCTAGTCATATGAAGTCTAGAAAAATCGATCTTTGGGTGAGGGAGCATGGCCTTGGTGGCCAACTTTGGAAGATGATTTTTAGAGCAAAATCCGGCTCGACCAACGTCTTCAGATGGTCAAATAACCTCAAGAACGAGTCCTAGCTAAAGCCAAGCAAGCCATATGAAGGCTGAAAAAATCGATCTTTGGGTGGGGGGAGGATGTCAGGGGCAGCCAACTTTGGAACATGATTTTTAGAGGGAAATCTGGCTCGACCAACGTGTTTGTATGGTCCAATAACCTATAGAACAAGTCCTACCTAAAGAAAAGCAAGCCATATGGAGGCTGAAAAAATCGATCTTTGGGTGGGGGAGCATGGCCTTGGTGGTCAACTTCGGAATTTGATTTTCTCATGCAAATCTGGCTCGACCATCCTTTTCAGAGTGTTCAATAACCTCGGAAACGAGTCCTACATCAACCCTTGCGAGTCATATGAAGGCTGTAAAAATCGATATGTGGGGGAGGCTTGCATGGCCTAGGGGGTCAACTCCAGCATTTGATTTCTTCGTGCAATTCTGGCTCAACCATCCTTTTCGGAGTGTTCAATAACCTTGGAATCAAGTCCTACATGATGCCAGGCAAGTCACATGAAGGCTGTAAAAATCGATGTGTGGGGGGGCCAGCATGGCCTAGGGGGTCAACTTTGGAATTTGATTTTATTGTGCAATTATGGCTTCACAAATGTATTCAGATGGTCCAATAACCTCTAGAAAGAGTCCTAGCTACAGCCAAGCAAGCCATATGAAGGCTGAAAAAATCGATCTTTGGGTGGAGGGGCATGACAGGGGTTGTAGTCAAATTTGGAACATGATTTTTAGAGAGAAATATGGCATGACCAACATGTTTGTATGGTCCAATAACCTCTAAAATGAGTCATGCCTGAAGTCAAGCAGGTCATATGAAGGCTGTTAAAATCAATGTGTGGGGGGCCAGCATGGCCAGGGTCGTCAACTTCAGAATCTGATTTCCTCGTGCAAATCTGGCATTACCATGGTCTTTGTATTGCTTAATAACCTCGAAATCAAGTCCTACCTTATCCTACCCAAGCCATATGAAGGCTGTAAAAATCAGTCTTAGGAGAATGTGGTGGTGGTACTGCTTACATAAGCAAGAATGTGGTCCTCTCAGAGGGGGCCTGCTCACCACTCTATGCCACTGTGATGCACCAGCGAATACATCTTGCTGATTTGTTGCCAAGGTTCGGAGCGTTGGATTCTGCCTGCATTTGCCTTATAAAATTTGAAAATTGCGAATTGGGGAGGTGTTGTGCAGAAATGCACGGCAGGGACTAATCTGTGGCGCTCTGATAGAGGTGGCCATCTTGTACATGTATATTTTCGCTTTTTTCCTCTTTTTTTTACAATCTTCTTAGCTTTTCTTTTTCATGGTGTATTTCACACAAACAAGACTTGTCCAATTCCTGAGATTTGACTGACTTTTGCTTCTTGTCTGGTATTGACTTGCATGACAGGGGCAGCCAACTTTTGAACTTTATTTTAGAGCAAAATCTGGCAGAGTCCTTGGATTTAACTGATGTTCGCTTCTTGGCTGGCTTTGGCTTCATAAATGTCTCTCTTCATAACTCCATCACAATTCGACCAATGTTTTTGGAAATGTCACAAAAAAGCGAAATATAAGTAGAAGTTTGCCACCTCTATTAGAGATGAATCCCCCATGAAGGGGAGGAGTCCTCAGATTTGACTGACTTTCACTTCTTGGCTGGCAAATCCTGGACCTTGCCACCCAAATAGCTCTCGGAGCGAAAATCCTGGTCACCTCTATCAGAGATGAATTCCGCATGAAGGAGGAAAACTTGGGCCTTGCCACCCAAATTGTCTCCAGAGTCAACAAGAAAGTGAAAAGGTAAAAGAAGCGAAAATAAAAAGTGTTGGCCACCTCTATCAAAGGTGAATCCTGCATGAAGGGAAGGAGCCCTTAGATTTGACCAACTTTCACTTCTTGGCTGGCAAAACCATGTGGGCCAACATGTGGCCGACTGTCATATGAATAAGTTGTTCTTGTGCAATGGACGATACAGTGGAATTTGACTGCCTCTCCAATGGAAGAATTCACTGGTTAGTTTGTAAAGCAGTGTCCGGAGCTTCTTCTAACACTATAGCTACATTTCAGATGACGAGTCAATGGTCAATCCTCATGCAGACTAAATCAGTCAAATCATAATGAAGCTTGGGTGAAGGGATGATAGATGAACGCTTGAAAAAGGGTCGTACTCACCAGGTTAGGTGTGTATCAATTCGTCCCATGCCTCACTTTCTATCATTAACATTTGGCTAAGCCTTGGGGAAGAAGCACCGGACCAAGAAGAACAGACAATGTACAGTCATTGCTGGGATTCAGACTATCCTGCAACTATCTTCATTTTCAAATATACTTCGTTGGGTAGGCCATGGTATTTTCTGTGTCCCCACTCATGCCAACTCCTGACCCCCCCTAATACAACCCTCAACCCAGACGACTTTTTCCTGACCTTGCTTGCATCATTCCAACAACATCAAAGAAATCATAATGACATTATGGCAAGGAACACTTACAAAGTCGAAGCCAGCCAAGAAATGAAAGTCAGTCAAATCTAAGACTCAGACAACCTTTCTGTGTGTAAAGGAAAGGTTTGAATATCAACTTTCATTGAGGGCCGACATGTGGCTGACTGTCATATGAATAAGTTGTCCTTGGGCAATGGATGGTACAATGGAACACGACTGCATTTCTGATGGAACCATGGGAATAAAGTTAATGTTCAAGGAAATTGAATTCACTGGTTAGTTTGTAAAGCGGTGTCCGGAGCTTCTTCTAACACTCTAGCTACAATCAGTGCCCATGAAGGGGAAAAGCCCTTAGATTTGACCGACTTTCACTTCTTGGCTTGCAAATCCTGGACATGGCCACCCAAATAGCCCTCAGAGCGAAAATCCTGGTCACCTCTATCAGAGATGAATCCCCCATGAAGGGGAGAAACCAGGATCAACTTTCTTTGACTTCCTAGCTGGCCTTCACTCCGCAGGTGTCCCTCTTCATAAGGTCATTATAGGTTTACTACACCATTTGCTCACAGGCTTTCTGAGATCAGAAATTTATGAAACCAAGGCCGGCCAAGAAGCAAAACCAGTCAAATCTAAGACTCGGACAACCTTTCTGTGTGTAAAGGAAAGGTATGAATATCAACTTTTATTGAGGGCCGACATGTGGCTGACTGTCATATGAATAAGTCGCCCTTGGGCAATGGATGGTACAATGGAACATGATTGTATCTCTGACGGAACCATGGGAAGAAAGTTAATGTTCAAGGACATTGAATTCACTGGTTAGTTTGTAAAGCGGTGTCCGGAGCTTCTTCTAACACTATAGCTACATTTCAGATGACGAGTCAATGGTCAATCCTCATGCAGACTAAATCAGTCAAATGATAATGAAGCTGCCAAGAGGGAGGTTCAAGAAGTCAAAGCCAGAAAATGACCATGGCAATATTCCTCGGAGTCGTTTGGGTGAAGGGATGGTAGATGAACGCTTGAAAAAGGGTTGTACTCACCAGATTAGGTGTGTATCAATTTGTCCCTTGACTCACTTTAGGTTTGACATCAAAGCGGGAGGTCACCTCTAATTCCATGATACACATGG